GGCAGGAGCTGGCTGTGCCCCAGGCGCTGCTGCGGAGCCCCCAAACTTCGCCAGCCCTGTCCCCATCCCCGACCCCATCTCTGAGAGCAGCTGACGCAGGCTGGGAAAGGAACGGCTCATACCAGCAACGAGATCGGGGCTGCGATAGGCGCCCGCGCCTGTTAATAATTAACAGCTGGTACAGATTCTCTTTTTTTTTAAGTGACACTCCTTCCCTCCAGCAGGGCCACCTGGACCGTCCTTCTGAGTTCAGCTCAACAATTAACCGCCCGCTGATGAGGCAAGCTGAGCAGCGGGGCAGAGGCTGCAGGGGAAGAGGGGCTGGGGGCCACTGCCCCGGGCTGCCCGGGCACGGGGTGCAGGAGGTGGCTGGGTGGGCTCCCCGTGCCACCGTGGGCCCCGGTGCAGCGTGCGGCTGCTTACCGTTACTGTGGTTGCCCGTCTGGAGGGAGGCGGGCGGCTGCAGGCTGCCCCCCAGGGACCCGTAGCCACGGTAGCTGTAGTTCAGGCTTCCATTGATGTAGACTGGGTCTTGGGAGTAGGATGAAGCTGGCAGTGAGTAGGAGGAGTGGGTGATGGCTGTGGAGTCTCTGGAGTGCTGCTTGTCTAGAGCAATCGGTTCGTCCTGCACGGGGGAGACACAGACTTACTCCAGCGAGGAGCCCAGCCGCTCCCTGCGGCCAGTGGGAGGGATGGCGTGGGGATGCCTGGTCTCCTGCAGCTGCAGCACGGCCAGCACACACCCACGTCCCTGGCCCTGTTGGCCTGAGCCTCAGGGCGCAGCACAGGGCCCTGTTCTGCAGCCCGCTGACTTTTAGAAAGGTTTTTAAAAATGCTTTTCCAAATTGCTCAGAAACTCCTCCTATTCTCCCCACACCCACCTCCGGCCGCGAGCACCGTACCTGGGAGGTCTGGTAGATCTCCAGCCGCATCCTCTTGGCCGCTTTCCGCGTTTCGCTCTCGCAGGCAGCAGCCAGGATGTTCTCTGCCATGGCCGAGGTCAGGTGCGGCGGCGTGGGCCTGGTCTGCGGAGACACGAACAGAGAAGGCGCTCAGGGACCGGCTGCCCCGGGAGCGGTGGCGAGCGGCAGGGCAGTGGGGCGACCACTCACCATCTCCATCCCGTTCTTCTTCATACGGCGGCAGGACTTGAGGTAGGTGCGGATGCGCTTGCGTGCCCGCTCCTGGAACTCAGGGAACTGCCGGCTGCAGGACTCGATGATGGCCTGGATCTTCTCCTTGGGCTGCTTGGAGATGGGAACCATCCGGTCCAGGTTCTCATCCACGAAAAGGCGCACAAACATCTGCAAAGGAGAAAACAGACGGTGGGAACACCGAGGCAGGAGGCGGGTGGGCTCGCCCTCCCCGCAGAGCCTGCCTTACGTTGAAGGCCTTTAGCCTCTCCGGGTCCATCCCCTCCGAGTCATTTATCTTATCGTTGTCTTCGTGGTCATCATGGTCATCGTCATCTTCGTCAGCCGTGGGGGCCCTGCCAACGGTCAGGTCCTCGGGGCAGCCGCTGACCTCTGTCTTGATGGAGTCGTAGCTGCCGGAGCTGTACGGAGGGGACTGAGAGGAGATGGGGGTTACTGCGAGCAGCCCTCGCCTGCCCGCCCTGCCCACGGTCACAAGGAAAAGCCCTTTCTCCTTGGCTCCCTGCTTCTGCCCCATCTCCTGATGTCCCCCCGCAACCCAGGGAGATGAAGCCCCAGATGGGCTCCTCCGAGTGCCAGCTCCTGCCTCCTCGGGGCAGGGGGGGACTGGGTGGCCTCAGGGGCCATGTGATGGCCCAAAGTGCAGGCAGCATGGCTCTGCCTGGTGGGGGTCGTGGCTCTGCAGGCAACGCTGCCCGGCCCCAGCGGGAACGGGCTCCTCCTTGCACGGCGGCAGCGGCACAGCCGGACAGAGGTGAGGCGAGCCCGCTGCAGAGCCCCGGCTCTGGGGCAGGCAGGGCATGGGGGATGCTCCCCGGCTGTCCCATGCCATCCCTCCCTCCCTCCCTCTGCCAGCTGCTCGCTCGGCGCTTGGGCCGATTTCTGCTGAG